ATGGGAAGAAATTTGAGAAATCCACTAAGTATTTGGAAATGAAGTAGCACTCTTTTAAATAACCCATAAGTCAAAGAAGAAATAAAAAAAAAAGTGAAGTTAGACAATACTATTATTGTTGTTGTTGCTAAGTTGTTGTTTTTGTTATGTTACAGCACTTCCAGGAATGGTGTACCCTCCTGGGGGGAATGTTGGTGTGGTACTGTAGGATAACTACTGGACCACAAAGTTGTGTTAACTACAATGTCCGCAGTTCACACTTACAAGCTGCTCTTTGCAGATCCTATACAGGGTTACTATGAGTCAGAACTGACTCGAAGACACTTAACAACAACAATAACATTTTATTTACAAAACCAGGGGAAAGGCCACAAATAGCCCATAGACTCAAGTTTGCTGATCCTTGATGCAGATAGGCAAAGATTTTTACCAGTGAAATCAAGTAAAAAATACCTCTTCCTTAAAAAATTTTTCAGCTTTAGGAGGAAAAACAAAACAACAAAAAATAAATAAGAAACAAATGACCAAAACCAAGAATGATAAGAGGGAACATTATTAGCAAACTTATAGAATCAAAAGGATTATAAGTAGATCTTATGAACAACTTTATTCAACAAAAAAGATAAATAAATCTAGTAAATTACTGAATAAGACAAAAATTATCACTGGGCTTGAAGTGACTCCATAAGATAAACACTGGACTGTGATCTACAAAGTCAGTGATTTGAGTCTGTCAACTGCTCCATGGAGAGTATCCAGGGAAAACGATGAGGTTTCCTGATTCTACAATGATTTAAAGCCTCAGACACTCTATATAAGGTCTCAATCAATCAGAACTGACTAGATGACACTTAACAAGAAGGACGGAAGAAGAAATGGCAGTGGACTGCTTAACCACAAGGTCAGTCGTTCAAACCCACAAGCTACTCCATGAGAGAAAGACGAGGCTGTCTGCTACCATAAAGATTTATAGACCCAGAAACCCAACAAAGGGTCGCTTTGAGTGGGAATTGACTCAGTGGCAGTGAGTTTGCTTTTGTGTAAGAAAGCAACAGTAAATCTGAATAGTCTGTATAATAAGAAATTGAATTAGTCATTTAAAAACTTTCCATAAGAAAAATCCCAGACCTAGATACCTTCACTGGCAAATTCTACTGTGAATTAAAAAAATAAAGTCAATCCTCCAGAAGCTCTTCTAAAAATAGCAAAGGAGGAATATTTCCCAACTCATTTTATGAGTTCAGTATTGCCCTGGTATCAAAATGAGACTTCACTAGCATTAAGTGCAGAGCAATATCCTTCATGAATACAGACACACACAATATTAGCAAACGAAATCCAGTAACTTACAAAAACAATTACATGCTATGGCCAAGTGACATTTTCTCTGTTAATATAACATCAGAAAATCATTTGATGTAATCCATCACATCAATAGTTTAAAGAAGAAAAACACGTGATTATTTTAGCAGAAAAACCATTTGACAAAATCCAACAACTGTTCAGAATTAAAAACAACAAACTAAACTAGGTATAAAACGGAACTTTTTACACCCAATGAAGAATATATAAAAAATTACAACTACCATCATACTTAATGGTGAAGACTCAGTGTTGTGCCCCCAGGATTAGGAACAAGACAAAAATAAACATTATCATCATTTCTATAGAACACTGTACTGAAGGTTCTAGCCAGTGTAATCAAACAAGAAAAAAGAAACACAAGGCATCTAGCTTGGAAAGGGAGGCATAAAACGATTTATTCATTGATGATATGGCCCAAACAGCAAAGTGCTATCACTAATGATATAATTCAGGAAGGTCACAGAATACAAGATCAATATATACAAATCAATTATACTTCTATATTGGCAACAAACAAAAAAATGAAACTAAGAAAATAATTCCATTCATATTTTCTAATATTGTAAATTATCTACAGATACATAAAGTTACTTTCTGTATTTCAGATTTCCTTTTAGATAGATTCCTGTAACTGTACATACTTTCATGATGATAGGTTCAAAGATTCAGGAATGTATACCAAGTGATCGACTCAGGGAATAATGACTGTGTTAGACAGTAAATTGTGACCAAAAATGCAAGGCAATTCTGGCTGAGTTCATTTGAAATATATCCAAAGACAGTGAAGGTCACTCACCTGCACAGCATGGGACAAATCTGACACAAGACACTGACGGAGCCTCTCATCACTCCCAATTCCTTGAAGAACAAAGTCAGGCACATAAGAGGAACAGTAGCCACCCAGCAAGGACCTCCCAAAGTTGGCAATATTGGGTTGAACAGAACTCATTTCAATTAACTTTGACCTGGAAGAAAGGTTCCCCCCAAAAAGGCATTATCTAAATTAGTAATAAACATAGTTTACCAATAAAAATATTTTTGAACTCTACAAGTCCTGGTGTGGTGCTGTAGGATAAGCACTAAACTTCTAACTTCAAGGCTGGTGTTTCAAACCCACCATCTGCTCCTTGGAAACTCTATAAAAGGGTCGCTCTGAGTTGTAATCGACTTGACTGTGCTTAATAATAGTCCATATTTTAGGTATCATTTTCTACAAGTACTTCAAATAAAAAGTGACTTTTGTGTTTAATCAGATCACAATATAGTCCTATCCAGAGGAGAAGGCCAGATGAACAACTCTGTAATGAGATGGGCATAAATCTTTCATGGAAAATTTTTACTTGTAACATTCCTCACACCCTCAGATATATGAAAATCATCATACAAAACAGAACAGCCAACTACTTCACAAATCCAAAGCTAGGTACCTAATATTTCACAACTATGGATCATCTCCTTGATTTACAATATGCATTCCCAGTTTTCTTGGCCAAATCTGTTTCTAACAGCTACTTTCCAGTGATTCTCTATAGCTACTTTCCAGGCTCAACACAGGCATTTTGGGACACAATTCAACTACTAAATGACTTGAAAACGCCCCAGTACTAGGAGCTATCTTACACACTAGGGCGATCCTTTAATTTTTTTCTGTTAGTCTTCATTCTTTTCTATGAGCAATAGCACATAAAAGTAAAATAAAGGAAACCTGTCCCAGACATTGTTATCTTTTCTAACTTATACTACTATCGACTTCCAGGCAGGAGAAAGATAAGGTTTTCTGATCTCATAAAGATTTACAGCATCAGATATCCTGTGTTGCTGTTGTTAAGTGCAGTAAAGTCGGTTCTGACCCACAGAGATCCTGTATAGGGTTTCTGAGGAGCAGCTGGTGAGCTTGAACTGTCAACCTTGCAGTTCAAACTGACTTTGTGGTCCAGTGCATTAATCCACAGTGCCATATCAGGACTACCCACAGGGTTGTTAAGAGTTGGAACCAACATGACTGAACTTAACAACAACAAACCAACCTCCAGGGACATGCCAAACAAAAGACTGATACAAAGGAAAAACTTCAAAAAGTTTGTAGAAAAATTCCATTATCTTTTAATTCCACTTTTCCAGAGACATTTTGAAGACTCCTTTTATTTAAGGCTTACTACAGGTAGTTGAGCCCTGGTTGTGTAGTGGGCGGCTAACCACAAGGTTGGGGGTTCAAACACACATCACTCGGTGGGAGAAAGATGATGCTGTCTGCTCCTGTACAGATTCACAGAATCCCTAAGGAGCAGTTCTGCTCTGTCCTGTAGGGTTGCTATGAGTTGGTATTGACTCAACGGCAGTGGGTTTATCAGAGGTGATGAATGGAGCCCCAGGAGTGGTGTGGGTTAGGTGCTGGCTGCTAACTGCAAGGTGAACGACTCAAATCCATCAATCTCTCCATGGGAGATATATGACACTGTCTATCACTGTAAATATTTACAGTCTCAGAAACCCCTATGAGTCCAAACCGAGTCAATAACAATGGGTTTGGTTATCATAGGAAAGGAGTTCCTATGTGGCACAAATGATTCACTTGCTTGTGTAATAAAGCTGGCAGTTTGAGTTCATCTAGAGGTACTTCAGAAAAAAGGCTTGGTGGTCTACTTATGGAAAACCAGCCACCAAAAACCTATAGAGCACAGCTCTCTACTGTGACACACATATGGGTTGCCATGCACCAAAAATGACAATTTTTTAAACTAAAGAAAAAGCAAACCCACTGCTGTAGAGTTGATTCCAACTCACAGTGACCCTAACTGGACAGAGCATAACTGCCCCATACGGTTTCCAAGACTGTTTTTTTTCCCCCCAGAAGCCGACTGTTTCAACCTTCTCCATAGAAGCAAGCAACTGGTGGGTTCAAACCACCAAGCTTCTGACTAGTAGCTGACTGCTTAACCACTGCACCAGCTGCACTTGTTGGCAACAGGTAATGATGATACATGAAAATGTACTACTTACCCAGGAAAAGGTATCTCATCCTCTTCTGCCCAGTCTTCTTGCTCTCCTCCATAGTAACTGCTGACTTGTCTAGTTACGTCATGACCTGTATCTTCACTTTCACTATCACCAAGGGCACTATCTGAACTTTCATTTCTTGGAATGTCCCATTCAGTTCCTACAGCAATTTTTTTCTCTGAACTCTCGTTATCCCCATGGGGGACAAGAATGGAGAGTGTATCTCTTTGGTCCTGCTGAGGAAAGCAGGTTTTACATGCGTCTTGGTGAATTGTTTCTACACATTTACAAAATTCACCCTTTTGTTTGCTGTCTTTTGTACATAGTCTTTTAGAAAACTCCAACATACAACAGTGTTCTTTTTTGTCTGTGCTTGTTTTAACTGGAATATCATCAATAGTCCTAGTTTCAATAGAATCATCATTAAAATATTCATCAAATAAACTTATGCTTTCCGGGTCTGAATGATTCCAACATGGAAGCACACAGGCCTCTCTAAGAACCATGTTTTGTGTACCAGACTCTTCAGATTGGTCCTTCGTTTTTTGTTTAGTTTCTTGATACAAATCAGCAGCCACTCCTTCTTCCTTCAGTGGCTTGTTATGATACCTGGTAATCTGATCCACCACTGCCTGACTCCGGAGTTCAGTATCAGAATCAGGTGACATGGAATCCCCGATTAAGAAAGTAACCTTCGCCTGGGATGCCTCACAAGAAAAGGCAGCAGACACAAGCTTATCTGGAGGTTTTTTTTCTACAATCATTCCTGTGGATCTCATCATTTTGCCTGTGTGGTTACTTGGATCCAGCAATTCCTCACTCTGCCATGTTTCCTCTGCTGGCTCTAAGCCTGATTCTGTCAATACACATTTGTCTACTGGAGCAGATCCTGTGCAAACAACTGTCTCCAACTTGGTGTCAAGACAAGTTCTTAATTTGTCTCTGTACTGTTTAATATCAAAAGCATTTTCATCCTGGCATTCAGGAGAAATCACTGGACACTCATCTGAAGTTTCTAGCATTTTCTCAGACATGTTTTCAATATCTTCTCTCTCTTGTTGTGAAACATTCTCTATATTTTGACCAAGGAGTGGACGACTGCAATATTTACAGTTACAATTAGGAGTCCTTATTTCTTCTGGCTCTTTGAAGAGCAAACTGCTTTTGTTTCTATGCATTGTGATAAGCACATACTCAGATTCTTCTATCTCACCCTTTTCCAAACTGGTAGTAATTACTGTGCCAGGCATAACAATGGCTTCATCTTCTCCATTTTCTAAAAGATGGGTCTCTTGGAGTTCAGAGCATCTTATGAAATAAGTAAGAAAATAGAGCAGCCTCTGGACCATGTCTTGTCGTTTGCCAACTACCACAGTCCTTGCTAAACGTACAGGTGAGCCAATAGCGCCATACAAGTCTCCTGTAATAGAAAAATAACTTAATGAACACACACTATTCACACAGATAAGCAGGTTCTTATCAGTGATTAGAAACATACTCTGGTTCTGTGAGGCACCGTTAAGTTTACTCTTGTTAATAGGTGAGTGACTGCTCAAGAAATAGGCTGAGAAGACTGGTCTTAAGCAGGGAGAAAGGTCTATGACAGGTTTTCTAGCTTCCTACTTAATTAGCTGCTAAGGTTCTAAAATCTCAAGCAAATAATCAGTTCTGAAAGTCACATTTATCAAAGATAGTCTCTGCACCAGGTCCAGGCAAGGCACTTTTATCTGGGTGGTGTATACTGCCCAGAGTATTGTGTATATAAGGATTCTGGGTTGTGTTAAATGCAGAGAAGAAAAAGCACACTACCTGTATGTATGTGTAGGGGGTGGGGTGGGGGTGGGGGTGTAGTGGAATGGAGCAGAGCTGGAGCAGTAATACCACATACTTAACCACCCAGGATTTACATCATATCCTGAACCTTAACTGTCACTGCCCTATCCAGTAACCCTCAATGGCTCCTGTATTTTAAAAAGCCCACTCCCCCTCCTAGTCCCTAGAGAACTAGGTATTCATATAGGCCACAAAGGGTAAGAAAAGTAAGACCCATTTCAATTAAGAGGTAGAGAAAGGGAAACACATTTAGCTATGTGGTTCTCTTTTACTTTTTAATCTGTAGTTGACATGAACAGCCATTATATTAAACATACAAACAAACAAAAAACCAAGGACACGGCAGTTACCAATGTCATTTCTGTATTTATGCTGCGGCTCAAATTAAATCAATAAAGAAACACATTTCAGAATAAAGACTTAAAAGTAGAACACTGTTGTTAAGTGCCGTTGAGTTGGTTCCAACTCATTGTGACACTGCGTAGGATTTTCAAGGAGCGATTGGTGAGCTTGAACCGCTGACCTTAAGGTTCAAACCGACCTTGCAGCCCAGCGCATTAAATCACAGCACCACACCAGTCATTAATTTAAATTTAATTTCATTTTTGTAAATTGTCAGTCCATACACCTTAAACTTAGGCCAATCCTTTAAAAATCTCTCTTTTTACTTTACACAAAACCTATACTTTTTAAAGGGAAAAATAAAAGACTTAAAAAGGGTTTTAAATAAATATATGCTGTAGATAAATGTTTTATGATAATTTTTCTCTTCCTGTTAAGACACCAGCTCTAATACCATCAGATCACTATCCAAAACCGTTCTCAAGTCTCCTGTTGTTTTTAAGTGCTATCAAGTCGGTTCCAACTCATAGCATAACTGTATAGGGTTTTTGAGGAATGGCTGGTGAATTTGAACCGCCAACTTTGTGGTTCAAACAGACCTTGCAGTCCAGCGCATTAACCCATAGCACCATACCAATCATCAATTTAAATTTAATTTGGTTTTTGCAAACTGTCAGTCTATACATTTTAAACTTAGGCCAATTAACTCCCAAGGCTCCCATTAATTATCATATAATTGATACTGTTTTGACATGGCAAATAAGTCTTTCATGATGGGTCCCACTTTACCTTTCCAGGTTTAACTTCTTATTGTTCACCCCTTTTCATCTTTTGTTGTTGTTATTGTTAAGTGCTGTCGAGTTGGTTCCGACCCATAGTGACCCTGTATAGGGTTTCTGAGGAGCAGCTGGTGAGCTTGAACTGCCGACATTGAGGTCCAAACCGACTTTGCAGCTGAGCACAATAATCCACAGCGCCACACCAGGACTCCATCTTTAGTCACCACTTAAACTGAAGTCCTTAAGTTGTCCTGCACTTTTAATACCTACACTCCTTTACTCATGTTATGGACTCTTCCCTCATTATGGCTGAAATTTATTCAAAGTTTTCTACCCAAGTAGTCTCCTTCAGGCAAAAGTACACTCCACTTACTGAACTCCCACTGATATTTTTATTTCTCTTATAGTTTCTTTGAATTATTACTGGCATGACCATTTTTATAATTCTCCTACAATATTAGCTAACATCATCTTGCTTAGGGATTTTATTGTTGTTAAGTACTGTGAAGTTGGTTCGACTCATAGTGACCCTGCACAGGGTTTCTGAGGCTGCAAATCTTTACGGGAGTAGAAAGCCTAACCTTTCTCCTGCGGAACAGCTGCTAGTTTCGAACTGCCGACCTTGAGGTTAGCAGCCCAATTCATAACCATTATGCTACCAGAGCTCCTTTCCTTAGGGATAAGGGCTAAATATTGTCCATTTTTCTATCCCCCATTACTCTTTGCACAAAGCCTTAATATAGATATATCTTAAATTAATGTTTTAGAATGGAAAATAAGTTTGAAATATCCTAACTAAAACAAAATACTACTGAATTTAAGAAAAGGTTAGTTAATATCCATACAATGGAATACTACAATAAAAGGAATTAACTATTAATACATATGGAGTCCTGGTGTGGCGCTGTGGGTTAATGCGCTAGACTGCAAAGTCAGTTTGAACTGCAAGGTTGGTGGTTCAAGCTCACTAGTCGCTCCTTGGAAACCCTCTAGAGGGTTGCTATGGGTCAGAACCGACTGGACGGCACTTAACTACAACATTAATACATATAACATAAGTAAATCTCTAATTAAGCTGAATGAAATAAGGCAGAAGCCCTCAAAAAAGTTATGTATGATATGATTCTACTTATATAGAATACTAGAAAATACAAAATAACTTTTATAATGATAAGAAGCAGACCAGTGGCTGCCTCAGGATGGGGAAAATTAGGACAACAGGCTGGAGAGAAACAGCAAGGATGGATTCCAAAGGGCATGAGAACACTTTTGGAAGTACTGGATATGTTCACCATCTTGACTGTGATGGTTTCAGAGCTGTAAAAACCTGTAAAATTGTACACTTTGATGTTAGAAAGAACATGAGGAAGAGAGGAAGTGGGGAAATGGAGGAAGAAGGAGAAGAAGGGAGGGAGGAAGAAAAATAAGGAGGAGGAGGAGAGTGGAAGGGAAGAATGCAATGTTAGCTACATGAACTGGTAAACCACCTACCTGCCTGCCTGCCTGCCAAGCTTACTCACCAGAGCAACCTAAGGGAAGTTTTTACCAGATTGCTAGAATGCCTTCATTTTACTCTCTCCACATCTCCTAATAGCAACAGAGTTAGAGCAGCAGTAATAGCAGCTACATTAACCAGACACTACCTAAGCTTACCTATATCTCATTTTATTTTCACAACTTTATTTAGTAGGTACTATCACTAGGCATTCTGGTAGCATAGTGGGTAATGCGTTGAGCTGCTAACTGAAAGGTCAGCAGTTTGAATCCACTAACAGCTCCTAAGGAACCCTATGCAGTGTCGCTATGAATCAGAACTAACTTGACGGCACTTAACAACAACAACAACAATGTATTATTATTAGGAGTCCTGGTGTGATGCTGAAGGATAAGCAATGGACTGCTAACCACTTCAGAAACCCTGTACAGGGTCACTATGAATCAGAATTGACTTGACAGCACTTAACAACAACATTTATTATTATCCCCACTTAATATATAAGGGAACTGGGATTCCATAATCTGTGCCCTTAATTAAGTATCAAACTAACTGTCTCCCTAATGATTGTAAACTTAACTACCCTTTATCTCCTCTGTCAAACTCCTGGTATGGTGCAGAATAAACACTGGACTGCAAACCACAAGGATGTCAGTTCAAACCCACCAGTTACTCCTTGGAAACCCTGTACAGGGTCACTATGAGTTGGAATTGACTTGATGGCACTAAACAACAAATCTCCTCTGTCACCTGTTAATTTAATGGTGTTCACTACTATGGGAAACATTTGCTAAATGGACTTAATTAATAAAAAAAAAAACCCAAAAAGAACTGAGCAGACATAAAAGAACAAGTAAAAGAAGAATGTTTTAGAATGGAAGAAGTAAAGCACAACATTCTCCTTCATTATTTTTGTTTTTCTATAAAATAACTCCATAAAAATCACACAAATGTGTACAGACAATGCATTGTGTAAGGGTTTTCAGATTACATACCTAGTTGTGCCCAAAGTGGGTTATATGGATGGGTCTTTGCCAACATGTCCACACTCTGAGAGGAATGTTTTTCTAAAAATATTTTTATAGGTGGTTGTCCATTTGGCATGACTGTTGGGACCCAGGCAAGATGATTGGTCAGAATTGCTGTAATGAGAGCTGGCAAGAATCTGAAAACAAAATGCATCCTATCAGATTCCAATCTGCCTTCATAAAACCTTAAATCAAATACAGTGACAGAGAGCAGTACATATATGGACGGCAGCACAAGAAAGAGGGAAGAAGAAAAGATAGATATATCACGGGGATAAAAATAAAAGTAATTTTTGGTTTGGCGAACTGAAAATCCTGAAAACAAGACCTCAAACATACTTACATATTGATGGCCACAGCAGCATCGTTCACAATAGCCAAGAGGTGGAAGCTAGTAGCCATCAACAGATGAATGGAAAAAGAAAATGTGGCATATAGATACAATTGAGTATTATCCATATACATATACACACACACAATGAAGTTCTGATATGTGGATGAAATCCTGAAAACATGCTAAGTGAAATAATTTAGATACAAAAGAACAAATACTGTTAAGATCTCACTTATAAGAAATTCCTAGAATAGAAATATGCAGAGACAAAAGGCAATTAGTGGTTGCCAGGAGTTGGGGGGAAGTGGGTAATTATTGTATAATGGGTATTGCACTTCTGTTTAGGATGATGAAAAAGTTTTGGAAATAGTGGTGATGTTTGCACAACATTGTGACTGTAATTAATGTTAGTGAATTTTTCACTTAAAATGATTAATTTGTTACATATATTTTATAATATAATGTATCAATGGAATTCAGATGTGTTATTTATTTATTTTTACTTTTCTAGGAAATGAAGGCATTTCATAGCAGATATAATTCATAAAAATGGGAAGCCCCAGAGTTCTGTAAGTTGTGATGGATTCCAATGTAAAATGTAGCAGCAGCTTTATATTTTTTCATTCATAGGGTTCTGGGACACTCTTCCCTGCCCTATACCACTTCCTCTTAATTTCAGAATCCTGATTTGTTAACAATCATATGAAATAATCAGAAAGATAATGACTGATTATTCTGTTACTGGATTTGTATTAATGTGGGCATATAGTTTACAGTACATATAATTAAGCTTTTAAAAAATGTAAGTAAAGTAAGCCATACTGAGAATCAACACTAATATACTTATTAACGAAGGTCTTAATATCTAGAGATAACTCACTGTTAATCTAATTTAGAAATCACAAATTAGTACCTTGATGTCAAAACTGTCTCTGGATTTCATATATTTTGTTTATTGCCTTTTAAATTGGATGTGTATTTAACATTACAAAATGAAGATATTTAATAGCAACAACAAAAGCAAAACAGAATTCTAGCTTCCCTTGTAAAATACCATGTTCTGAGATAACTGGACTGAGTTACACATGTCAACAATTAGTAACCATCAATGATGATCTCCTTCCTACAGACTTGGCATCAACACTAGAGTTTCTGAAATTCCATATCTATGTTGCTTGCCTCTCTTATTCCATATAAGACTCCTGGATTTATTCAAAGGATAAATAGATGGAAAGGTAATAAAACTACTTGTTTGAAAACACTTCACTGCTTAGGTTTCTTTCTAATTTTATTTATTAGCTTGTATTAGGAAGATTTTATATCTTTATTTTACAAGCTGAATTCAGTCAAAATTGGAAAGCATAATAGAAGCATGGACAAAAAAGTTTCTTACAGAATCATATCCCACTAAGCCAAAGGCAACAAAACAAATTCACTAACATGTTGCATCTGTTGACATTAAAGTTCAGTTATCCCTTTTATGGTTTTATAGAAGTGAAATAGTTAGGGTTCTGTGTGAACTTGACTAGGCGAGGATTTCCAGTGAGTTAACAGTTGAGATGTGCTTATTTTCATGGTGATGAAGCCTAAAACCGGCACAGTTATCTTTATGATGAGTGGCTATGTAGGGATGCTTCCTTGGGGGTGTGGCCTGCTCCCAATAAAATGGACCAGAGAGAAAGATTCTTATTTTCTCGTCTGCTGGGGACCTGGAACTCTGTAACCGGAAGCCACGTCCTTGATAATAAACTTCACTTTATATATGTTGTTCTTGTTAAGTGCCTTTGAGTTGGTTCCAGTTCATAACGACCCTGTATAGGGTTTCTGAGGAGCAGCTGGTGGACTTCAACTGCTGACCTTGCATCTTAAACTGACCTTGCAGTCCAGTGCATGCATTAACCTGCAGTGTCACACCAGGACTCCGACTTTATATACAGACACATATGTTTCACTAAATTTTGTTTCTCTAGAAAACAACAGCCTAAAACATGTGATATCAAGAAAGTGGGGTTCCAGAGAAACAAAATCACATGGATTGGTTTTCTAAGTTGGTATTCTTAGAATACCACAGTGGAGCCATGTCTGAACTCCACTTCATAGGAATTGGCTTTGGGCTAATTTTGAGTTTGATTCTTTTTCTACTTTTAAGAAGTCAGAGGAACTCAGACATGGCCCACATATGGTCTTTGCAGTTGGCATCAGAAGTGAGATTCAGTGCAATGGCTCCAAACTCATGGTAGCAGGAGGTTTATTAAGAGAAAGAATCAAAAGGCATGGAAAGTGAGACTTGTGATTTTCAGATGGTTAGTTTGGATTTTGTTACCTGTAGTGAGTGGCGGAAAGGAATGTAAGGGATACAATACTTAGGTGGAAGGTGGAAGGGGGGGCAGCAGGTTAGATATCTAGTTCAACCAGATGTCATATTGGTTGAACTAGATGTCTATTAGGTGATCTGCACCTACTGGGATTCACCTTGCCAGAGGCCTAAATCATATGCATAAGAATAGGGATAGCCCAAGAGAGAAGAAAAGATTGAACTTCAGTATTTAAAAAGGTTTATGTGCCTTATGGATATTGGTTTCTCCTGCTTATTATTGTAAAATCCACATACTATGTAATAGAAATGAATATGGGAATTATAATTACAGAAGCTTATAAACTCACCAAAAGCATAGGCTTTGGTTTGTTAAAAGGGGAGTTAGACTTTACCCAGAAAGAAAAAGGCTTTTTGCTTTAAGCCTTTGTACAGTATGGGGCTTAGTGGAATCCTGAGTCCCGCCCAGAATCTTCACTGTTGGGAGATTTGCATTTGAAAAAGACATACAGACCAACCCAGAATTGCTGGCTGAACTGGAGATTCATGATTGAAAGAAAGCTGAGAAAAGAGCTTCTTTTAAGCAAGCTGTTTACCTTGAATGCATCAAGTCCAGAAAAGTCTGTGCCCATCAGAGATAATCCCTTTCTAGGAATGAAAGTTACAGAGAATTGGCAAGCTGTATGCTCACAGGTGGAGTCCTGGTGCGGTGCTGTGGGTTAATGTGCCAGACTGCAAAGCTGTTTGAACTGCAAAGTCGGTGGTTCAAGCTCACCAGTTGCTCCATGGAAACCCTAACAGGGTCACTATGGGTCAGAACCGATTCAACAGCACTTAACCACAACAACAAGCTCACTGGTGACCACTTGGGTCTATGTGTGAGTGGACTTAGGAGAAATGCAGCAATGAAGACACAGGCTGAGGCTGGACATGTTCTATTGGCACCTGTTGGCCTTGAGATGAGAGAGAGAAGAGGAATAGCAGACTGGTCTGAAGTTTAGAGAGTTGTGTGAATTCCTGAGCCCACAGGCAATGACCTAGCCCCCCGGGGCTAGGACTGACAGTAAAGGAGCCAGCTGGTCTGAAGTGCAGGGAGGTGTGTGTGAAATTCCAAACTTGCAGCTGGTATCCATTTGGCCTAGCTTGGATGGCAGGGCTGAGTTGTGATCAGAACCTAACCAAATGAAGACAAAGATGTGATAGTATGAGCAAGTGTAAATTGCTGCAATTTGATTAACTGGACTTTTGCTTATGGATGCAACACTCAAAATTCCAACCAGAATGGAAAATTATTTAGATCAAAGAACATGCTTTTTCTTCTCAGTGTACTGGGTTAATGTTGTTGTTCAGTGACATCCAGTCAGTTATGCCTCATAGTGACCCTGTATAGGGCTTACAAGGAGCAGCTGGTAAGAAAAGGAGGATAAAGTTAGAATGGGGGGCTACAGAGTCAGTGGCGTGGCCACAGAGGACTAGAGTGGAGAGTGAAGCTACCAGCTGATAGGAAGAGAGGACATATGCACAAGAACACCCACACTTGCAGATGGTACCTACTTGACCTGGCTTCGATGACTGGATGATCAGAGCTCAACCAAGGAAAAGAAAGAAGAGAAAAAAAAGAGTAATCTGATACAATTTAATGAACTTGACCTACACCTATGGATGCAGTAACTCAAGAGGGAACAAATCCTTACAGCAAGAATCATTCCCACCCCCTCCACACACAGAGTAGACAGAGATGGGCATCTTGAACATTGGATACCCAAAATGGGGGAAGGGGGGGACTACAAAGGCAAGAAGTGACTGGCTTACAAGCTTTCAAGAGGGGACCTAGAGCCAGGGGGCATGGAGGAAGGCAGAATCTCCAGTGAGTACTATCCAATCTGTCTAGGCGGAGCTGATGAAAAGAAATGCAGATGGGTCACTTGTGACACAACAGTGAATAATTGTTATCAGGACTGATTGTGAGGGTTGGAAATGTAAAGGTAGACGTTTTATAGCAAGGAAGGGAGTGATTAACTCTCCAGTCTAGGAGCGGAGGTCTCTAGGACCATCAATGGAGAAGAGCTGAGAGCGGGACCCTGCCCAGAGAAGCAGCTAGGCCTGAGATAGAGGCAGAGACGATGACGTGGAGTGATGAAGTGGCTGGGGACTTTGGATCCAGAGAGGGAGAGGAACTGTGTGCTGAAGCCTGGGGGGTGGGGGTAGAGGGTGGAATGTAGGGGGCAGGTTTGATGATGCATGGAGGGGATTGGAACCATGGCAATGAAACGATATACGATAGAATGAATGTAAAACTAAAGTTCTCTCATGTAAACTATCATATAATTCACAATAAAAAAAAAAAAAAAAAACCAATGGGGGGCGGCTATAACGGCATGAAATGGCTGGCTTACAAGCTTTCCTAGGCATGCTTAGTTTTAGAATGAGGGGACAAGGGAGGATCCCCACTGCCTAGTTTTTCTATTTTCCAGATGGGTCTGATGAAAGGGGTTGGGGGATGATGCTGATAGGATTTTATGATTTCAACTATGAGTTATTACTTATAGGATTAATTGTGATTGTCAACACTGTAATTGTAGAAGATGTGTAACTAAATTGGGGAGTAGTTAATCTTTCATTTCAGGAACAGATGAACTATCAACAAGGAAGAGCACAAATGGCAGGTGGGATCCCTGCATAGAAAAGTGCTAACAGCAGAGATGACAGCAGAGGTGGTGCCATGGAAAGACAGAGCAGCTGTGGGCTCTAGCCTCATGAAGTGAGTATGGCTGTGTGCCTACAGAATATATATATATTCTGTACACTTGAATATATATATATATATACACACATACATACATATAGTTTTGTATGTGTGCAGCAAATATTTTTGCTTTGTTCATTTGTGATACATAAGATATAAATTAGGCCAATGGGATTTGGGTTGTACGTGTTTTAGTAATATCATGTTAGGTGCAAGTATGACTTTAACAGTTATTTTTATTTAGTGATTATGCATATAGTTTAAGGTGTCTAGTTGACAAGGGTGAACTATAATAGTTAGGGTCCTGTGTCAACTTGACTAGCCAGGATTTCCAGAGGTTTAACAGTTGAGATGTGCTTATTCCCATGGTGATAAAAAATAATACATGCATAGTTAACTCTATGGTAAATGGCTATGAGCAACCAAGCAACTGAAGGGATGCTTCCTTTAGGGTGTGGCTTGCTCCCAGTGTATAGTGCTCTCTTCCACTAGGGACCTGGGACTTTGCAGTTATAGGCCATTTCCTTGAAAATGAAATTCACTTTATATATATATATATATATATATATACACATATACACCTAAAACAAGAGGTAATACAAAATTAATAATGAGCAAAAAATAAAGTGAGCCATACTGATTTTTGGCAGCATTTTCCATTAGAAAAGTGAACTCCTTCATAAAACGATGGCAAAGTTGGTTCTTTTCTGGAGTTCCTGACATCATTGTAAGCCAGACAGGCTCCCCAATCCGTGGCATTGTGTACAGATTGCAAATTGCTGTTCTAAAAGAGAAAGATACATTATTAAATTCCAAGCTACTATAGTTATATACAGTACTCTCTAAGACAAAGTTTATGTTGCCAACTTGGTCCATAGAAGCAGGTTATTAAAACTTCAGAAGAAACCATGAGTTGGGTCATTCCTTTTTTGTAATCAGTAAAGTATCATAAGGTGGAAAGACACAGTGGCAACAATAGATAGAAATGTACCTGATTGTTAGGATGGTGCAAGACTGAGCAGTGTTGTTCTGTTATGCACAGAGTTGCTAAGAGTTGGAATGGCACCTAACAACCACCACAACTATGGGAATTGTCCTGCATATGAACGTTGGTTCTGGAGCTGGCCCTGCCACTAATGACTTGTGTGCCCTTTGATAAATTATTTCTCTACTTCAAGTGTCAGTTTCTGCCACCTATAAAATGAGGGGATAAGACAAGATAATATTTGTAGTCACTTCCAGCTCTATCTTAAGTATACTTAGATGTACTACGAATAATCAACAACATTTACAAAAGAAAAGCATTCGAGATGTGGTAATAACTCATCAATCTACCCATTAAAACAGTAATTTATCTGCATCATTGGCTGTTGATGCTGAGACACTTTAGTAAAATCCTAAAGGGCAATGGAGACACTATATATGCATGCTGTATGTTAGACCCCACTTGCAACCTTCTGAAAATTTTCATTGACTCAATACAAAACAGAACGACTGCACAATCATTACAGTGTTGTTCTGGTTATCTTTAGAATTTATTTAGACAACAGATACTGTAGTGATATTCATCTCTCATGAAGGCCTGAAAGCATATCACTAAAATATCAGTTCTTCATTTCCAGATGAGCAGAAATTAAAGGAATTTGTAAAAGCCAGATCAACTTTACAAAAAATACTAAAGGGAGTCCTTTAGATTGAGAACTAGCAACAGCAGAGAGCAACTGGATATTGACACACTGGCAACACCACCCAGAATTCAGTCCAGATATAGAAGTATCCAAAGTAAAACAAACTTACAAGTTAAAAAATAGAGAATCAGAGATACTAATTTATAATCAAGAAAACTACAAAGCAAAAGGAAGGAACATGAAGAGACAAAGGAAAGCATAAAAAACATAGTGAAAGAGCTGTTGGAAGAAAAATTGTCTAACATCAAGAAAGACAAGAAGATGACCATTCAAGAATCTGAATGAACACCAAACAGGATAGATCCTAAAAGAAAATTTAAACAACATATCATACTCAAACTCTCCAAAATAAATGACAAAGGAAAGAATCCTGAAAGCAGCTTACAAAAAATGAAAAGCTACCTACAAAAGAGAACCAACAATACTAACCCTTGATTTCTCAGCAGAAACCAGGCAAGCAAAAAGGCATATACAAAACTGTGAAAGAAAAAAATTGCCCACTAAGGATCATATACCCAGCAAAATTGTCCCTCAAATTTGAGGGCAAGATTAGAACATTTCCAGATAAACAAAAATTAAATAAATTTGTAAAAAGCAGACCAACGTTACTAAAAATACTAAACGGACTCCTTTGGACGGAGAATCAACAATAGCAAATAACAATCAGAGATTGGCATACACAGCAACTCCACTCAGAATTCAATCCAGGTATCCCAAGTAAAACAAACCCTACAAGACTGAAAATAGGGAATCAAAAATACCAATTTATAATGAATACAATGACAAAGCAAAAGAATGAAAATTATGGTTACAGAACTTCCAAATGGCGAGAAAGTCAAGTAGATTTCAAGATAAAACAGACTGTTTAAAACTGGGAAAGAAAATTGATAAATTACAGGCTATCCTTAAAGAAAATTAATATAACTTCACAATCAAGGAAAGGAAAACTATAAAGATTTTGTAAACATTAAAGCAACAATAGTGAAGAAAATGACTAAAAATGCACAAACAAAATGAACTGAGCACATAAAAATATATAGAATAAAGAAAAGTACAGCACCATTAAAAACACACAGCAAAAAAACAAACACACACCGCAAAATGACTGCAATCAATTCATACCTATTGAGAATTGCACTGAACATCAACAGATTAAATGCACTAATCAAGAGACGGTAACAGAATGCATAAGATAATAGGATCCTTCAATATGCTGTCTACAAGAGACACAAAAAGACAAAAATTGATTAAAAATAAAAGGATAGAAAAAAATAAAACAAGCTAATGGCAATAAAAAATGAGGCATGGCAATATTGATTTCTGATAAAACAGACTTTAAGGCAAAAACCAGCATAAGACACAAAGGCGGACATTATCTCATGACTAAAGGGTGAACGGAACAAGAGAACATAATCATAATAAACATCTATGCTCCCAATCAAACAGCCCCAAAATACATAAATCAAACTCTTAATAGTACTAAAGAAAGAAATAAGACAACTCCACAGTAATAGGAGATTTTAGTTCACCACTTTCAATATAGAGTGGAACTAAAAATAAAATCAACAGAGACACATAAGAACTAAACAACACAATCAACCAATCTGACCTCACAGATTTATACAGCGCACACAACCCAACAATAATACAATACACATTCTTATCCAGTGCACATGAAACATTCTTCAGAAGAGACCATATATTAGGCCATAAAGCAAGCCTCAACAAATTTTTAAAAAATATCAAAATGCTATGAAACATATTTTCAGATCACAATTCTACAGAATTAGAAATTAAATACAGGAAGATAAATGAAACAAAATAAAATGTATGAAAATTGAACAACACCCTGCTTAAAAGCTATGGGGTAATAGAACAAATTAAAAATGAAGTAAAAATATTCCTTGGATCAAATGAGAATGAAAAAACATACCAAAACTTTTGGGAAATAGCAAAAATAGTACTTGTCGTTATTGTTGTTTTTAAGTGCTGTCGAGTTGGTTCTGACCCATAGCGATCCTATATAGGAATGACTGGTGAGCTTGAAATGCCAAACTTGCAATTCAAACCAACTTTGCAGCCCAGTGCTTTAATCCACAGCGCCACGCCAGGACTCCAAAAATAGTGCTTTGTTGTTGTTAAGTGCCATCCAGTCGCTTCTAACCTATAGTAACTCTGTATAGGATTTCCAAGCAGTAGCTAGTGAGCTTGAACCACTGACCTTGCAGTTCAAACTGACAATGCAGTCCAGCGTATTAACCCACATCACCACACCAGGACTCCAAAAATAGTGCTCATTTATTTCCATTGGTTCTATTGTGATGCCACCCACATCATGTTTATGTGTGTTATTTGCATCTTCTTTTCGAGTTGCCAGAGGTTTGTCAATTTTATTAATCCTTTCAAAGAACCTATTTCTTGCTGATTCTTTCTATTGTTTTTCTATTTTGTAATTCATTTATTTTTGTTCTTTCTGTCACAGTAGGATTACTTTGCTGCTTTTTCTAACTGCTACAGATGTTCAGTTATTGATTTTTATTCTTTCTCCAGCTGTGTGATACTATTGCTATAAAAGTAGTACTTAGAAGGCAATGTATAGCAATAGTATCACATAAAAGTGGCAACAAGAGAGATGTTGGCAGAAGTGATGGCACAGAGAGACAGAGCACCATAGGACTATAGGCCCATGTACTAAGAAAGGCAATGTGCCTGAGAGCAGGAGACTGGTTTGCAAAATGTGCCCTTTGGACAAGTAAATGAATATGTATTTTCAATGTGCTACGTGTACATCCATAAAAAAAAAAGGTAATAGAGGTAAATACTGTTAGCTGATGGTGCATGGAGGGGATTGTAATCATTGTGATGATTTGTTGGATGTAAAACTGATGATGTGCCCCATTAAACTTCACTCAATTCAAAATAAATTCTCACTTAATTCACAAACACACGAAAAGATATCAGTTTTTCCCCTATTACATCAATATCTATTTGTTATGTTGTTAGTGTCATCGAGTCGTTTCTAACTCAAAGCAATCCTGTAGAGGGTTCCAAGAGCAACTGGTGGGTCTGGACTACTGACCTGTGGTTAGCAGTTCAGAGCTTATCCACACCAGCATTCCAAAAATACACCACAATCACCACAATACATACTTAGCAAAGTCGTATAATCAAAGTAAAAAAGTGCTATGACATAAGAAACTTCTGAAATCTAAACTCCTGAACCACACTCCTGAAAAGCTTGTGACTTAGGATGAACTGCTGACCCTGAGGTTAGGAGCCCGATTCGTAACTACTATGCTATCAGAGCTCCTTTCTAGATGGTAAGTGATAGAAATGTGGAGGTTTAGGAGAACTTTATGGAATTGCCCTGTGCAAATGACTCAATGACACCTAACAAACAACAACACAGAAAAAAAAAACCATGACTAGAATATAAACGAGGGATATAAGAAAATGCTTGTTTTAAAATCCTATTAGGAAGTTCTAGATAGAATGGGTAACACAACACAAATGTTTTTCCTCTCTCAGTTCTGTAGCCCCAATAAAATATCAGTTAAGGACTTGAAAATAGATAACCTTCTACAACAAACAGAACAGGAGAGGAATCATCTCAGCAAAGTAAAATCAGAACAATTTGCTATAGCTCTGAAAGATAAAATGTATGGGCACAGAGAAGGAGGCAGAGATGAGGACATGGAGAAATAGAGCAGCTGAGGACTCTGGACTCATGGAAAGAGAAAAGCTGCGTGCTGATGACCAGATGCTGGTGGCTAGGAGGCAGGCTTGAAGAATGTGCCTTTTGGTTGTTTAAATGATTATATATTCCAGACTGTTTTCATGTACATGCTCCCCCCCCCCAAAAAAAAAACCCAAAAACCATCAGAAGGAATAGAAGCAAAAATATTGTTGAATGATGATGCACGGACGAGACTGTAATCATTGCAATGAAATTATGAATGTAAAACCAGTGTTCTCCCATGTAAACTATCACTCAATTTACAATAAAAACTTAAAAAATATTAAAAAATATGTATATATATGCAGAGTGGTAACTGATACAGTAGAGTTGAAGAGGCTACAGGGTATAGTAATCACA